GGGCGGCGGCGGGGGAGGGGAGGGCGGCTCCTCCTCCGAATCCGTCTCCTCGCTGGGGGACCCCCTCCCCAAGACGCCCCTGTCCCCCTTTTTCCAGCGCCGCTTTTTGCTCTTTTTCACCCGAATCCGCGAATTCTCGCGGCCGCCCCGGGAGCCGCCGCCCATCCCCGAATCCCCCCGGCGGTTCCGGCGCTCCCGGCGTTTTTGGGGGGGCGGTCCCGGGTTGTTTTGGGGGGCGGGGAGGTCGAACAGGGAGTCTTTGAGGCGCATTTTGTCCAAAATGGCGGATTCCGGGGGCGCCAGGGCGCGTTTTTTGGAGGATTTGGCTTTGCGGACGAAGGTCTCGATGGTGCGCAGCGCGGCCGGGGCCGAGCCCCACGCGTCCCCCCCGGCCGGACGGGGCGAGCTGGGGCCGGACGAGGGCCAGGGGGGGTCCTGGGGGGGAAAGGTCCCAAAATGGATTGGGGAACCCCAAATCCGCCCCAAAATCCATCCCGGGGTGTCCAAAATGCAACCTAGGGCCCCCAAATTTACCCCAAAATCCAACCTGGCGCACTCGAATTTACCCCTAAATCCAACCCGGGGTGCCCAAAATCCAACCCAGGATGCCCAAAATCCAAGCTGGGGCACTCGAATTTACCCCTAAATCCAACTCAAAGGCCTGAAATTTAGCCCAAAAACCAACTCAGGAACCTCAAACTTATCCCAAAATCCAACCTGGGATGCCCCAAATTCACCCAGGACCCACAAAATTAAGCCCAGGACGCCCAAATTTACCCCAAAACCAGTTCAAGACCCACAATCGACTCAGGAACCCCAAAACCAACTCCAGAACCCCCAAATCCAAGCCAGGCACACCAAAACCCAGCCCCAAACCCATGCAGGACTCCAAAATCAACTTCAGCACCCGCGAATTCACCCCTAAATCCACCTCAGGACCCCCAAAACCCGCCGCAAATTCACCCCAGGACCTCCAAAATCCTCCCCAAAAATCCTCCCCAAATCCCCCCTCACGAACCCCCGCCTCAACATGGCGCCGCCGCGCACGGCACGCCGGGACTTGTAGTCCCCACACCAAGCATCGCCTACGCCTCCCAGCATCCCCCACGGCGCGCAGAGGGCGTGGCCAGGCAGAACGCACCGCCATTGGTCCACGCGAAGGGGCGGGGCTTTCCCCTCAGGGACCTTCCCGCGGTGGGCGCGGCTAAGGGCAAGACGCCACGCCATTGGCGAAGAGCGAGGGAGGGGCGGGGTTTAGCGCGCTGTCAATCACGGGGGGCCGCGCGGGGCACACCGGGAGCTGCCGGGGCGGCGGCAGCGCCGGGGGGAACCGGGGGGGGAGAGGGGGGGCAGGTTTAAGGACCGGGGACTCCCCCCTTAAAGACCTCCCGCCCCTTTAAATTCCCGTCCGGTGCTTCCCCGCGACCTCCCGGTGCCCCTCCGGTACCTCCCGGTAACTCCCGGTATTCTCCCGGTGGCTCCTCCGGTACCTCCCGCAGGCCTTGGGTGCTCTCCCGTTACCCCCGCGAGCCCTCCCGGTGTTTCCACGACCCTCGCGGTGCTTCCCCGGCCCCCCCTCGGTGCCTCCGCGGCCCTCGCGGTGCTTCCCCGGTAGCTCCCGGTAACCCCCGGTGCCCTCCCGGTGCCTCCCCGGTTACCTCGGCGGTCGCCGGGATGTACCCGGCGTAGGCCAGCACGAAGCTGCAGAACTTATTGAAGTCCTCGATCGTCCTCCGCCGCTTTTCCGGGGGCTGCCGGTACCGCGAACCGAGCCGGGGGGGAGGAGAGGGGCTCACCGTGAACACCGGGACCTTCCCGTGAACCCCCCCCAAGGCTCCGGGGCCCCTCCCGGTGACAGCGGGAGCGGTGAAAGGATTGAGCAGCGGGGGAATCCCCGTCCCCCCGCCCCTCCCGGTGCCTCCCGGTGCCCCCCCTCACCTGCGGTTCGGTTTTCAGCGGCCCCAGCGCTTCTGCGGAACGGGAAGGGACGGGGGGGTCACAGCGGCACCGGCACCGGAGCCCGCCCGGGATCGCCACCGGGGCTCCGGAGGCGCCAACCCCCCCCGGTACCGGTTCCAAACTCCCCGCCTTCCCTCGGTTCTGCGCTCCCGCTGCTGCCGCTCCCTCCGGCCCCGGTACCGGCACTCCGAGCGCTCCAAACCCCCCCGGTACCGGCTCCAAACCCCCCCCGGTTCCGCCTGCAGCTCTCGCACGTACCGGCACCAAACC